GAAAAACTACAAAAAACTGATAAAAGCAGCGTGACATTCTGCGTGGTTTTCGAGTTACAGTTGCAGAAGCGTAAACGCGTCGTTCACAAGCGAGCGGTATCACGTATCGCGATAGGATATCACGTCGCGTTAATTTCAATCGTGAAAACAGCGAAACAATCTCATTTCGGATAACGAGATGCAGCTCTGGGAATCTGTCAGATTTCCATTTCGTCCGCCGCGATCCTGTCCCGATTTTATTATTCGCCGCGTCGAGCTGCAACTACATTATCATCCTCTACCGGTTTCAATTGATCGGCTTTAATCCCCTCGTATCACGCGAGATCGCCGATGATAATTGTTTACATCCAGTCAAATAATTGAAACGCGAAAATGATGAGATTCGTTCCCTCGTCCCCCCTAACGTTTCTTCTTCTCGTATTCCCTGTACGATGAACATACGAAAACAAAATGCATCGTGGTTTTTGTACAACGTGACAGATCGACTGACTTAATAATAACGTATAGATCAGGACAGATTAACAAGTTTGTCGCGAGATATTTAAGATTGAAACGTTTTATCGGTAGATAATTATGAAGAGAAAATTCTGCGATCTCGAAGTTTTATTTCTATTCGCAAATACGTAGAAACCGTATATCTACGGTGTAATACTAATTTACATGCCTATTTATCTATCCAATTATTAATTAAATTAATTAATTTATATTTTAGTTTCGTCATTTCTCGAACGTGCTCAGTTAAAAGAATTGAAGAAGAGGTTTCGATCACTTTCGATTTTCATCTTGACAATCCGTAAAGAAAGAATTGAACTCGTCGAAATGGAAAAGTCTCGCCAGAGCGGGAGCATTTTACCGCTAGGAGTATCTTATTATGATAAACGATATAGCCGGCGTGAAGCGGACAGGAAAGTTTGTTTTCCCGGTGTTGTAGGGAAAATGGAGGGGCAGAAAGTCGGAGAAAATAGGCGACTAAACCGCGGATATTAGTTCTCGTTAAGTAGCCGTCTGGGGGATTGGAAATTTATCGGGAAACGAGAGGCAGATAGGGATCGCGGTGGCGGCCAATCCCGAGTTTCAGTTTCCCCGTCCACGGATTCATCGTACAAGTTGACAACGTACGAGGCCCGGATAGAAGTTGAACTGCCTAGCCCCGGATGCTGAACTTCAAGTTGCATCCAAGTTTAGCTGCTGGATCGCGTTATACATATACACGTGCATGCCTCGGTGTAAACAGGGGCAAGTTTCAGCACACTGTGCTGGTCCTGGACGTACATCATCGTCCAGGCCGATTCCATCGTCTCTGTTTCGCTTTCTTCCCACATGCTCTATCTTCATCCGATCGTCTCTTCTCTCAGTCTTCAGTAAACATCACAACTTATTACAACGTGTTGCATCGTGCCAGACGATTGAGGCATTGAAAGGCGTTATACGCATGCAGTTCGTATTTATTGATCTTCAGTTTGAAGAATTATTCAAATTGAAGATTCAATATTCGCGTTCCGCGAATTCGGGTTACGGTTTGCTTTGCCTTTCGAATCGAAACCATAATCCTTGTAACTCGATGTTGTAAATCAAGGGGGTAAGAACATGTCGATGAAGGCTGAGAATCATAGTGACATAAGTTTCTGTTGTGAGTACATTAAAAATGTGTATATATCGAAATGTTGAAGTGTATTAAAATATATTAAAAATATAATAATAGTGTGGGATTTGGAGTAGGTTTAACACCGAGTCAAAATACGTATACTCAACTTACTTAACACTCTAAGCTATCATTGAGCTAAGCTGGATTGATTCTAACTACATTCTGTTTATTTAATTCTACGCGATAATTCACACTGTGTTCTTCTCCTCTACTCAAACATCAAATCTGTGCTGTCCACGCTATTTCTCCCGACATACACCCTCGTAACCATTTTCTCTCTCACACTCACGTGCCCTTAATATTATATTATTTTACAAGTACTCTTGTATTCTTGTAGCATTGTGCAACGCCTGCGTGCCATCTGTGTGCCTGAACCACTTTGGAGTCATAAACTTGGCCTGCACTAGGTTTTAACACTCCTACAATAATAATAATTATTTATTTATTTCGGCCTCTTCAGGCCTGAAATAGGATTTGGTTTACCAAATTCTTTCCATCTCGGCCCTTCGACTGTCAACACGAGGGGAAGAATTCCAATTTATGCGAACCTCTTAAAACTGATCAAATTCCACTTTTCGTCGATCTCACGATTAATTTTTAATTTCAAAAGAGAGCTCTTGTATATAATAAATTGTACCTCTGTACATAAAAAGGTCCAACTTCTGATTTGCTTTTCCTACGCAAGGAATTTGCGTTTAATGCGGAAATTGATTGTATTCAATTAATTCAGCAATCAACTTCTTTACTATGAGGGTTAAAATGCGCCTTCTAGATGTCTTGTTGTCAGAGATTTACAAAAAAAAAAAGCTTAAACTCGAGCAAACTTCGATATCCAGAGTTTCCGATGTAGCTAACAAAATTATTAGACTTCGATCTCCGATCTTTTTAACGATCGGTCAATCCAAAATGGAACATAAAATACACACAATAGTGCGTCCTCTGTCGCAAATATGACATAATATCGTTTCTTTCATACTTTTACTATTTCATCTTGTATTTGTCGTTTATATATCCTTTTCTTCCCTCAATGAGTTTTTCCATTAAATAAATAAATATATTAAAGGAGCAAAAAAAAAAAAAAAA